AAAGCACTTTCAGGAAGAACAAATTTTGTAGAAATAGGTCCAATAAGCAATTTCATGAGTGTAAATTATGGAACTTGAACAGCCTTTACTGGGCTGAGATGTGCCAGCGGCATCACAAACGCCTTTTCAAATAAATTTACAAAGAACTGTAAGACTGTCGATGAATTATAGGAAAATTTGAAACTGCTGTGAAATATGAAACGATAATTAGCAATTTTATGAGCCAGCATAGAAAAAAAAAGTACAACCGGCAAGGCGCATACCGGAAATCATGCGGACCACCTCGAGATGATTGGATGCAGTAACTGGCATGCCATTGACTTTCAGTATTTTGTCACCCTGCCGAACACCAGCTCGGAATGCGGCACCATCCGGCTTAACAGTATGAACAAATACTGGGTGATCGCCTGTTACGGTGAGGCCGTAGCCATCCACCTGACGGGTGACCACCACACAGCGTTGTATCAGTGGAGCTGTGGACTGCAGGGCTGAAACATTTATCAGTATTATTTTCAACAACTGAAAGCGGAAGATGTGACCGAAGGATGCGGACCGTCGTCGGCAACAGTACCTCAGAAAAAACGCTAACTGTGATCAGAAAACGATGGAACGATGCAGTTCTGAGGTAGTAATTTGTAATCAAGTAGAAAATAACAGAACATTTCGTCAAGTGAGTTCCGTGCGCTTGTCGCCATGAAATAGAAAGATCGCAAAATCACCTGAATCGGACAAGCCGCTTGAATGACAACTGGCTGCCGGTGAGTGTCTTTCACCAAAGAGTAGTACTACAAAATGGGATTGCTGAACCCCCGGAGCGATGACGCCTGCATGTCAGGTAAGAACCGGAAAAAGATGGTGCTAAACAAGACGTCCTGACATGGCTGTTCTCGGACGGTAGTGGCTTCTTGATATAAAGTTTCTGCCGCGCCCTGGCCCCTATGTGAAAGCCCTGGCGTTGCTGGGGTGCAGGCCACTGTGGTACGCGCATCATCTTTTTGATTGCGTGG